AGCTCAGTGGACCTAAGCTTCACTTTGTTGCAACGTTGAAGTTGGTTCGATTCTTCAGAACGGTGAAATTAGGATTGGATGATTTTTGAGGGGTGGAAAAATTGTTTTTTTTTTTGGTACTCCCTCCGAGCACTCGCCCACATGCAGGGAAATATGGGTTCTGCCTGACAGATTTTTTAAAAACCCGCTCAGTGTCGTCGTCCGCAGTAGGGCTTAGGTCAGTGCCGTTTCGTGAATACCAATCAAGGTCTGATAGTCTCATAGTTCATTAAATATGCGATGACGGGGTCGCACTGTGTAAAAAGCTCATGGCGTACCGCGCGCGCGCCCACGATCGGCTTCACCTTCTCACAATAGGCTAGGTCTCCACGAAACCTGTTCGTCGTGTTGTGATGATGTCTGCCCTCGCAGCATTTCAGCTGTTCTCTCATCGTCTGCACTGCTGTACCCCGATGTGACCTTGTTCGACGTTCGTATATGACCATGGCCAACGAATGTGCACACCTGTGACGCCGTCAGGCGGTGGCTATGGTGTGGCGGCTGCGCCTGTCCACTACAAAAGCCGCTCAGGACAAATTGAGAGCTTTTTCGTTCGGTCTTTATCGAGACACAAACCGACACAGTAATTGCTCGGTACGTAGGACAATTAGAAACAAAGGGGAAGTCTCGGATGCTAAGCGAAATTCTGGGGCCATTGGTGAAGAAGCTCAGATTTACACATCACTCTTTGAGGGTTCCCATGTAGTCATGTCTAGGATAGCTCATATATGATGAGAGTCAGTTGACTTTCAAATGAGGTTTCTTCCCGACAGAAAAGTAGATAAAATGTAATATCATGAAATATTGGTTTGTGGCAATAGAAAATAAGCTAGAAAATGGTAGACGAAGTTATGACGAATAAATAAATGTTTTTTTTTTGATACAGGGTTGAAGTATACTGCTCCTTGGGGGTTGCTTTCTAGGAAGGGTTTTGACGGCGAATAGGTCCTGAATATTATAACTGATTCGATGGCTATTCAATGGTCGATTCAAGAATGAACTGGACGAGTTTCGGAGTTTACAAAATTGTATACAATAAATATTTCAGTCAAATATTCCAATTTTTTGAGTGTGAATTCTTCTATCTCACCTGTCGGTATTAGATAAAAAGTGAAACGTTTCCAAAAAAGCGAAGATGTAGTGGAAACGACTACATATTAAAAAATATCCTTACAAAATTACTGATTTCTCATAACAGTTTAGTATTTCGCTTACAACTCGAAAACAGCAGCCGTTGCTCCTTTGCGGGTAGGCTTCTCAAAGGACTGCATTACCAGAATTTATAGAAAACAAGCTTTAGAGCCGTAGTTTTCTGGTAGTACTCTTCTAGTTATCGGTTGCTCATAATTACTGGACTAAGTTAGTTTTTGAGGATCCGGCGTTATAAAAACAAGGTATAAGTTATGCTCGGGCGGCCATTTTAGATTATGACGCTCATTACCCGTCAAAAGTTACTCCTGGTAAAGCTAAGTGTCGAAAAGATAGATGGAACCGTACTTTGGGAGATTTTACAACAGATAAGACGATTTTCGTGAAGTTAGGACGAGTTTCGCAGTAGGTGTTATTCGGAAGGCGTTTATGCCAGAGGAAAAAAAGTGAGAACATAGAGGAGTTGGCGTGAGAGATTGGAAAAGAGGGCTGAGCGATGAAATGTCGATTCGTCAGAGTCGTCGGATGAAACAACATACGCTCACCCCATGGCCATATGCACACGGACTATCGACTATTCGCATGTGTTTGTGTCAGTTTTGACGCCATTTCACACCCTGCTTCTCTGACTCTTGCAAGAACTCTCTTTTGCCTCAGATTAATTCATTTGTATGGTTCAAAGAGACTCTCAGTTGCTTCGTTCCGTCCTACTCCACTTCACTGAGGTCGTCAGGGGTTCGTAATTACAGTTAGGACCATTACTGTACACTTCAGTTTCTCACGAATTCTTGTCATTATTCCCGTGATACCTGAATATATGAGCTCTCCAATAGAGCTCAAGCACCCCTCTTAGACCATAATCTGTGCGTAATATTAACCTTGGTTCCCAATTACCATAACCCCCCCNCCCCCCCATGTTACGTAATCGGGGAAGACGGTGTATATCGTCATCGTCGTGGCGCTAATACGTCGGCTGTCGTCAAGGAGTCGTTTCGTGATTGGCTGAGACGCGTGACCCTGCCCACTTCTTGTCACGCCCCCTGCCAAGAGCGCTCCAATGAAGGAGTGTCCTCGTCGATGTAGTGAAGACCTCAACGCGATGCCATCCTGCCGCAAAGCCTCTTCCGTCTGTTTTATCTCTCGAACCTCATCACTCCGCCCATTTTTTTGGGCCCGGACTGGATGCTCAGGGGCTACGGGGGTGGTGTAGCGTTATAGTGCTTCAGAAATGCTTCTACGTCTGTCGTAGGTTCAATCTGGGTCTTCACAACTTTTATTTGAGTTTCTATTCAAACGCGGTACTCCCTTGTGGTAATCCTTCAGCGTGGAAGGCCTAGTAAAGCAGGGCAATCACCAGGGCTTTCAAATTACTACTTCATTCTTTTACTTTTCAATGAGATAACTTGTTCCCCTTTTCAAACATCCTCTTACTCCATCAGCACATTCAAATAGCCTGAGAAGTCGTGAAATGTTTATTGATTACACCCTTAGGAATAATAAATTGCTATACCCACTTAACCACCCAACAATTTTCTTTTCCCTCTTATCACTTGAAATTTTCTGAGAAGAGGTTGAAATGGATTTCCGTCAGAAACCTCTCTGAAATTGCTCAATGGGACCTAAATGTCACATGATTACTGCTTAGTCGTCTTCATTGTCCTCTCCGTTCCTGAGTTTTTGTCATTTTAGGACCTTCTCTCTCCCTTTTTGCTTTCTTCGAAATAATTTTCATGATGTTCTCCTGAGCATTTCTTCTGCAAAAACTCTTACAAGTTCCTATAAATATCGAAGAAAAAATTAAAAAGTTCCTCAATTTAGTGAAGTCATATTAATTCGGAAACAGATTGTGATGTGTTCATTGCCCTTTTACGAATAATCACCTTCTTCTTCAACGATCACTTTTTTTCTGCTTGCGCTGCGAGCGTCATATCCATATTTATCCATTTTTGCGGGATTCCAGAGCTTGAGGGTTGGGATTAAGCCATGCTTTTGACAGGGAATCTAAGATAATTTGAATATGAAATCGTCAGGACCGTCGTCTAAAAATTTTCGTTGATGTATCTTTCTGAGAGTAGGTGAAGACGACGATGGGCATCATCCTTAGCCAATTAGCTATTCTGGAAGATGATATGTCGTCTCACACTAATAAGTTGTTGATATTGCAATAGGACCCGAACATCTCATGGCTACGAGGAAATCTTAGGCAAGTAGCATCATCGTTAAGCAGTTCCACTGCGTGGGCTACACTGAGCTTTCCAGGAGCTTTTTTGATAGTTGAACCTGTTTCGATCTAATCGTTTCAGGTAAAGTTTCATAGAATCATTTTTTCGATGTTTCTGGTTGAGCAGACCCTTACGCTGTTTATCGACTCCTCGGTCCTTTATATGCCCCCACGTCGAAGCTAACTTCTTTTCTACCCCTCTTTATGTCGTATGAAGTAAAGTAAATCCCACTAGAACTACTTGTAGTGCTCAAGTTTCTTCTTCTTTAATGATCAACTTTCATCTACGCCCATCGTATGTAGGCGTAGTTAATTAGGGGACGTTCTCGTACTTTCTATGTTAGCTTTTACATCGAGGATGATATCTTCAGTTTTTTTCTGAATTTAATTGTCTCACATTCATGCGTCAGCCTAGAATCGATCCGTATTTTCTTATGACAAGCGACAAACAGTCCGTTAGTTCTTTTCAAGCTCCCAGCCAGGTTGTTTTGATTGGTTGCTCAATGAAAGAGATCCCATATGATTCTATACCCATGATCGTGTTGGGTGGGATGCTCTCGGTCCTTTCAAGGTGTCCTCAGTTTGCTTGGACGTACTGTGCCCTTTCCTGGCTGGCTAAGCGAGGGCGAACTGAAATCGATTTTTCCATAGCCAATTTCAGGCATCATCTTCACAGTGTGCTTTGGCTGTGCTCATAGATCGTTACGGTCAAAAACCCGTGATTGTCATACTTTGAACGATGATTAGAATCAAGCATTTAGGCGTTTTTCACCCCCCCCCCCTCACACCCCCAAAGTACATTAGTAGGGGAGTAAACACGGGGGCAGACCTTTTTTTCCAGAATTTCTATTCATTAAAATCGAAGAGTGGGGGTGGAACTACAAGGCCGTCGTGACGATCCCCATCAGTGAGGGTGGTTTGGGTGAAAAACGACTATTGCAGAGGCAGCAGCTTGGCAACCATGTGACTTTCAAGGTATTGTTTATTTTAATCGCCCACATGCTTCTTCCCAGGCATCGTATCAGTTCTTCCCATATCCTCATTATATATTGCTATGACCGATTGACTAGTAAGATTCCCATTTTCATCAGGATTCCTTTCCTTCCCCTCTCCCTTTGAGACCTACTCCATTCGGGCGATGCGCGGACGTCCTCTCAAGAAGCCCCGCCTACCGCTCGCTACAGTAATCTTCGCCGAGGCCACTTACGGAGGTGGCGGCTAATCTGAGTAGTCGTCCAGTGCAGCATATTGCGGTCGGTGAGGCCGTGCCTATCCCCGTCTGATTTCCTCCATTTCCGTTTCTGAAAGCGATTTACTTCTATTGCCGCTCGTCTGTGGCTCCGACTTTATACAACTGCTGGTGACCCATCAGTATTCCTTAGTGATGACGCAAATTTGCACACATCCACCATATTGTGGTGGTCTTAAAACTAATAGAAAGCCGTAAAAACGCACACATTGGCGCAGAAAGCGCGGGTGGCTGGCCGGAGCGCGGTGATTAGAATTCGAAGAAATTACGCGAAGAAATTCTTCTCGTTTCATCTTCGGGAATTAATTTACGGGAGGCCTTCGGCAAAGAATACATTTCATGCTACAAGAGCGATGCTTATGTCGTTCAGCCATCTGTTCTCAGTTGTTACAATTTGGCATCGGAACCCTTTTGTCTCAAAGTTCAGCCCTAAATATGATCGACTTGGCTACCCAATTAGATTCAGCTAAAAGCTCCTTCTTTACTGCTTTTGCCAGAATTTGTCAATCCTCGGTAGGCAGGGAAAATGGTGGGGAGATGACAGTCAGGTGGGATACCTTCGAAGTTGAGAATTCTGCCAAAATGGGCCATCGTTAGAGAATTTTAAAAAATACAGTGTTACAGCACGTGAAAAACTCGTGTAGTGACAGTCCAGTTCTCGAAATTTTCGCACGATAACTTCTTTTGACGGAATTTCAGTTTTAAGGGCAGATTTCTACATCCAAACTTCTAAGAGTCTGTTTTTGACAGCCTAATTTCCTGTCTAATGTCAGTGACAAATTCAGAGTTCTTGTTTGCCATGGCTTCGGACTGAGGTTTCTCTTTGTTGAAGACAAGTGGTTAGAGGATTCCTTGCTGAAGCAGAAGCTTGATAGCTCACTAATTTTCCTCTCCTTTTCTTTACCTATTAGCTGTTTTTTCTGTGAAGAGCAAATCCTATACCTTCTTCTGGTGGAGTAACTTTCTCATCAAATGGATTTTAAGAAGAGCCTTTACTTAAGCACTATCTACTAGTTCTTCTCCTAGTCTTGGAATGTCTCTTCTGTGAAAAAGTCGTTTTTAGAGCATTTCTATTCTTCAACTAATTTCTCATAAACTCCTCCTTCCACTGAAATTAGTCTAATATCAGCTGGTAGTCATTGAATCAGAATGGTTTGCTGCCCGATGTTGTAATCCTCTCAAGTGAATCACCTCCGACGAATTGCTAGCCTAAACAGTCTGCTCCGTGTCACTTGCCACTGGCTCCTCCAGCTCCCCGCCCATCTCATCGATCTTCTTTCGATGTGATGCGATCGTCATTTACATACCTCGAGTCCAATGCTTCATAGATAAAATCGGCTCTTGCTTGATTGACGCCGTTAATCGCTATTATGCCCGAGGGTCAACAGACCTCTGGCACCTGGCCAGGTGATAAAGTGCATGGGACAAATTGTCGGCTGTCATAATATATGAACGAATGACGTCCCCATTACTTACTCTTGGTTTCTGTTTGTCTGTTCCCCTTCAAATGACTGTGACTTTCCCGTCAAACACAGAAAAAGGACCGTCTTCACTTACCAGTTGAATTGGGAACTTTGGAGACTCAGGTGGTTGCAAAGTAATTACGAATTGGGCCCAAGCAAGTCTGACATCAATTGAAAGCAAAACTCAACCCTTGGTACACCCGTGGGTGTTCTGAACGACCTTTTCCGTTTTTTCTTGAACGCTGAATGCGTAATGTGTTTTGTAGCACCAGCTCAACCTGGTTATGGGGAAGTTGTAGGAGTGGTGTCTTATTCCCATGCTGGATCTGGTAACCTGGGGAAATCTTTATCGACCGAATCCGCCCAAATAGATGGTGATAGATTCGTGAAGATTCACACGTCCGCTTTATCGTATACCCAGACAATATTGCTATTCAACGAGCACAATAGACATAGAAAAGCTGTAGTCCCTGATGGAGAGTTTGCGGGGCTGTCACCGAATGCTGGGCGAACTCTAATAACGAGCGCAATATCTGCGGGATGCTGTTGAGTCGGATAGATCTATTGTAGAGGGTCGGCAACGACTTCATCGCCTTCCGGCCGTGACCGTGCTCGCCACGTAGTCCTCGGATGCCTGCCTGTCTGACTGGCATCTCTCTCTGTCCTCGCCCACCGTTTAGCGCCCCTCCAACGGCTTCAATACGGCCTGTTTTCTCAGCGTGAAATCAGCTCCATCGATTCGTCGTCGCTCGTTCTATTCAACAGTCCGAACACCGCCTCAACGCTACTGTCCGAATCAAGTCGTTGGCAGCCGAAGAGGAGCACTATCAGTAGCTCTCCGGGATCGCGCAGGATTCACTTGGTAAGTCAACGGCTTAGTTAGAAGCGGGCTTTGGGCAATCAAATACTTGGGATCTACTAAGAGGCGCGTTTATGAGTTTATGTCACTAGCGAGGGAGGGACCCATTCCATCCCGAAATTCTGTGGGAAATATCAACTCGCGTGGGGATCGGGGGACTCGGTAACCTCCCTTAGGCGTAGTGACTTTCTGGAGTGTCGAATTCATGGAAGCTCTGCTCGTGACTCTCAATTTATCAGCTGGATATACTCCGGAATGCTGCCCTACACTAGTTGAGCTCGTATTTAACTCAGATTTTCTTGGAGGTGGTTGCCGAGGTCGGGATGGGCCTTAACATGATCTAGAGGACTCTTTTTCTACATTTCTCTATCCAATATGTTTATGTATCCAAAGAATCATCATACTAAGAAGTAAAGTTCCTGTGGTAGAGAGATTGCACTTCTCGGATGTCTCTTTCTTGATTTCCTTCTATGCTAGCCGTTAGTTGCCTGAACCCGTTAATCTTTGATTGTGATTCGATCAGTTGTTTGTATGCTCGGTGTTGGTTCGCGTGTCCAGAGAGGTGTGTGGGCGTATTTTCAGCCGGTCCGTATGTCCTCAGGGCCACCGCAACTGAGCTCATCACCATTCGGTCACTTCTCGTACCTCTTCCAGCCACAGCATCATCATCATCTACATCATCATCAACAACATCCTCAGCTACCATTCAATACTCCTAATATACAACGCAGTGGCTTCAAATTGAAACGTCAACGACAACGTGTTGACGCCGGGGAGCCAAGAAATACATATCAGGTTGGTTAGAATAAGTTATGTAGGCATTTTTAAACCCATATGGGAACTGTGGAAATCCAAACCCTTGAAATGCATCGGGAGTCTGGAAAAGATAGAATTTGAAGAGCTCAATGAAAAACTGCTGATTGGCTTTCCATTCAATTAGGTCAAATAG